CTGAGCGAGTTTTCAACCATTTGAAGATTGCGAACACCCCCCCCCCCATCGCAGCTAGCTGCTTTGGGGAGGAGCAATTCTGCTAGATCAGTCAGTTGTAGTTATCCATGCCCAACGATTGCCGAAGGACCTATGCCGATGGACATGTCTTGTTCTGAAGGGCTGGTTGCCTTCGGGCATGGAGCATACGCTCGATGCAGCCAATGTTACTCCGCGCTGGCTTCTACTGAACAATTTTTTCGTGTCAGATGACTTGCATTCTACATCGACCAATAGTACCACGACAGTTAACGCATTCACTTGTAGCCACCAGTTTATAAAGTTTGACTGCCATTAAGTTCTTTCGTTTGGTCAAGATCCGCTCTACTGAACATTCTGTTTCATAACCGTTGTACGACATCCTTCGTACGATCCTTTACTGGTATGCTTCCCACCCCCGTAAAAGTGCCGTTCACCAGTTCGATCGCTTTATGTGTATCCGGTTTTATTGGCACCGGTGCGATGAACTTTCTTCCTGGATAGCAATTCTTCACAACCATTCTTCAACAATACGCCAGCTAGTAAGGGCGAGACTGACGACAACGAAACGAAAACTCATACCAAAGTGTTCTGTTCTGCTTATCCTCTTCAAAATCGGGAAGGATCCCAGTAATCAAAAGTCAAACTCGGCACTTGTTTGTTTACTCAAGCAATGGAACCCCCAAAGTCCCAAATAGCCGAACGTTCATGGATCTAAACACAGTTCGTATTTTGCAGAGAAACTAGTCTTTTTTCTGTTAAATGGAACAACTTAGCCACTCCGGTTAACAAGATTATGAAAGGTTGGCTGTGTGAGGTAGGAAGTTATGCTAAGTATACCACTATCACTCAGTCACAAAACGACAGGTCACCTACTTATCATATTCAACGACTGATAAATTCTTCTCGTCATGTTGGAATCTAACTCCCCTTCCCCGATGTGGTTCGAAAGTAATTAATTCAGTGGTAGATTTGACAGCAAGTTCGGCTTATCAGTTCAGGCATAGGAGACAGTTTATGGATAACCGACTCTTTCACTGATAGTGTGACCAGGGTTAAAAATCCCATCTGTAAGAATAATTGTTGGAGTGTGTCATCGTCCGCATACAGTCGGCCAGCTTAATATACGAGCAAAAAGCCTCCAACGATTTCGGCTGACGTTATTCAGGATCACCAAGAGGACTTTCAACTGCGCTGAGATCCGACTCTTCCGACTCACTGTTCTGCTACACACTATCTATCTGTGGTCTTCTACAGATTTCTAAAAGTCTACTTTTCCAGCTTCAAACATTAGACCTGGCTGTCCGTTTGCGGGGTAGAAAACCTCCACCCTGGGAGAACACATATAGGGAGACACTAGGGTAGTAAACCTGCTGACCATGGCCGATCTGTTGCAGAAACTTCACTTGTCATTTGATACTGTTCGAGCGGATTACATACGGAGGTTCAAAAGTAGTCCGTTGAACCAAAAGCTGGGGAGGATGCACACGACTAGAAACAGATAAATCCCCATAAGGGCAAACACTGATACACGGCTAACTAGCTTGTATACTCAACAACCGGAACTCCCGGTCATTTCGTAAACATCGCCTAAAAATACCATGAAAACTCACTCAAACCGTTGAAAATAGGGTTATTGATCAGCACTCATGCTTACCTTGCATTGTCACGGAATACATCCATGCAATGGTGGGTTGTGTGCCGATCTCCATGCTTGTAGCTAAGTCGGGCTATCACCCATCCACCGCCCTAGTTGCCTGCCAGCCTAGTTGGAAGGTTGTTAATCCACCATCCGTTAGTTTGCCAACCAGTGAACGGCTTGCGAACCCACGGAAGGCGATCGGTGTTAGGTGTGGGTTCGATCATCGCCGTTTACATGGGTTATGCCATCCTTAAACAAAAGAATGGTCTAAATCGTTCGATTAGTTGTTCTCATAGCATCACCCATATTAAATAGTTTTGTGAATGGATTCATCCCCCGTGAATCTAACTGGTCAACCCACAAGCCTCTTGACATGTGAACTCAAACCAATCATCCATTTCCTATGCACACCCAAGAGTTGGCCCCGCTTCCTGGATTCCGTCCCAAATTTCCATTATAGTCTGAATTTTGCTGAATGCGTCTGGTGGCTCCTACGAACGAAAGCTTTTAAGCGCGCAAACGTTCCTACTGGAATGCGAGCTGCGCTGCTCCGAGGACAGACTATAAAACTGTACTGAATCCTGTTCGAATAGAATTATGTTGAAAAGTTCGGTTCGGTTGAACTAGTGCGCACCATCCATACTCCTCTGAAGTGACTGAATTCTGTTCTACTATTTAGATCACAATCAGCAAACATACCGTACAGCGATTATGGGCCCATAAGACAAAAGATGGTGGATAAACCAGTTTGAAGTTGCTGATTACATTAGTCAATTTTATCGACTTGTGGTGTGACGGCTACTCTGCTCTATTGTCGACCGTAGGTCAATTAACGTTGTTGTTTGCACCATCGCACGTAATTGAGCTAGCGACTACCCGGGCTGAATGAGAAAGTCCTCGCATGGTCACAAACAGCTAAGGTCACGTGATTCCAGAGAAATCACTGTCCGTCAGGGTTCATTCTAAGCAAGATAAACACAAGCCCTGTTAACTCAAGATGAATCTGGCTGCAACAGTCAGATCAAATTCGTATCAAAAATGCCTTAGCGAACCCGCACATCACATGAGGCAATTAATTGTGCAATCTGTATTACTGTGTTGCGTTAATCATCGGCCACTTTATCCGTACGGCATCGCAGCATCAGTGTTGAACACTAATGTCATGTCGATGACCATGTTTTTCTGCAAACTGCCACGTCTCATATCCTATTACCCTCGCCCAACTAATTTTCGCTTCATTGTTGACCCGTTTCCCATTTTGAGAAACTAATGCGAGCTGGGGCGTGGTATTTAGATCAGCATGTTAAACAAAGATCTCAAACGGAACATTGTTCGATCAGATAGAAGACTGACAGCAATTGACTAAAACCACTTTCCGACTAAAATGGAAGTTCCGGTCAATCGGACTGCTTCTTGCGCCTAAGCACAAACGACAGATTACATTGGTGTTTTTCGAGCCTTTGGGAAGCAAGGCGAGTTCATCCAGTAGTCCACTGGGTTACCATTCGCTTTAAAATGTTCGGATACACCTGCCCCTAGTCCATTGTTAGAATGGTCATGTTGCCCATCTGTTCCGTTCACTAGGGAAAGCCTGAGAACATTGTCAGTTAATATGGTAGAAGTTAATCCTTTCTTATCCCTCGTTAAACATTTTAACGGGTGTTATGTTCGAAACCGATTATCTGTACGAGGTGAAATGCTTCTTGATCAGTTCTCAAGATGGACTAATGCAGTCCAATTAGAACAAGTTAGCAACTCGACTGACCGATTTACTTTGTCTGGAAGACGATGGGCGCGTAAGCGTTATCCCAGACAAAAGTGGACAAGAAAACAAATTCACATTAGGCATTTTTTAAATGAATATAAACTAGAACAAAAAACGCGGGACATATCTGCAGGGCGGGGGTTGATAAATGAAAGTCAAATAAATGTGAATGAAAGTAATGTCACTTTTCTTTCGCTCGAAGTAGGGCTTGAGGTTTGTTACTAGACGTGTCAATCACTTCCGTACAGTCTTGACGGTAAGTGAGAGTGATTGGCATTGATGGAAGAGCTGACGGATAGCTTCAGTGGATAAGCTTTTACAATCCAATCCATTCACCCGAACCAACTCATCGCCACAAGATAACACTTTCTGAGGGGACGTACAAACTTGTTCGGACAGACGAGTTATCTGGAAACCTTGAAAGAAAAAGAGAAATAATAAATGAGTGTTGACCGAACTTGGGTGTAGTGACAAAGAGCGCAGTAGCACATGATGAACTGAGACGCATACCTTGATCAGATTTAACCACATATAGACCGAAGGGTTGGGAACTATCTTCTCTGCTCAAGGTTACGTTTCGGAGGATTGCTTGATCATGGTTCATTAGCGGTTGGGAAAAGTATTTATCACAGAATAAACTGGAACGTCCACTGAATCCCTGATCATCTTCAACACGTTCTTTCACGTTGATTGAGACGGAGTGATCCAACTCGACAGCCTCCTGTAAACTGTGCGTTGAACCACGGAAAGCCTTTCGAAGTGAATTTAGGGTGTCCCGAGCCGAACGTTTTATTTCAAGAAAGAAACTTGAACGCCTTTTCTCCCGCGGAGATTGGGTCATGAGGGCCGGATAGGATTTGTGAGAACGCAGAACTGCTTCTGCACTGTACCGACCCGCACGATATTTGGTCCGACTGATAGGTTCATTAGATGGTTGAGATATCACTTGCTCAGTGGAAGTTGTTGAGAGGGACGGTTTCGACACCGGATTTCTCACTGCGGCACTAGAATGAAGGGAATAATTTATGGGTTGTAGAAACTTGGTTTAACGTTCGCGGCAATAGAGGGATAGACACTGAATAAGAGGTTATACCATTTGTTGTCTGTAACTGCATATATATCGATAATTTTTTAGATAAATTGTAACAGAAAAGAGGTGAGATGACCATCCACAATAGACCAGCCTACTGAGGCATTCTGTGCACAGTTTTGAAGGTTCGTTCAGCTGTAACACAATTTTAGGTGCCTAACTGCTATGCCACCCGAAGGAAGCACGAGGGCTGGGATGCTGTCAGGTTGCCCAAGCCTAGACAGGGGAAGTCGAAAGGCAGGTTCGGCTTATCAGTTCAGGCATAGGAGACAGTTTATGGATAACCGACTCTTTCACTGATAGTGTGACCAGGGTTAAAAATCCCATCTGTAAGAATAATTGTTGGAGTGTGTCATCGTCCGCATACAGTCGGCCAGCTTAATATACGAGCAAAAAGCCTCCAACGATTTCGGCTGACGTTATTCAGGATCACCAAGAGGACTTTCAACTGCGCTGAGATCCGACTCTTCCGACTCACTGTTCTGCTACACACTATCTATCTGTGGTCTTCTACAGATTTCTAAAAGTCTACTTTTCCAGCTTCAAACATTAGACCTGGCTGTCCGTTTGCGGGGTAGAAAACCTCCACCCTGGGAGAACACATATAGGGAGACACTAGGGTAGTAAACCTGCTGACCATGGCCGATCTGTTGCAGAAACTTCACTTGTCATTTGATACTGTTCGAGCGGATTACATACGGAGGTTCAAAAGTAGTCCGTTGAACCAAAAGCTGGGGAGGATGCACACGACTAGAAACAGATAAATCCCCATAAGGGCAAACACTGATACACGGCTAACTAGCTTGTATACTCAACAACCGGAACTCCCGGTCATTTCGTAAACATCGCCTAAAAATACCATGAAAACTCACTCAAACCGTTGAAAATAGGGTTATTGATCAGCACTCATGCTTACCTTGCATTGTCACGGAATACATCCATGCAATGGTGGGTTGTGTGCCGATCTCCATGCTTGTAGCTAAGTCGGGCTATCACCCATCCACCGCCCTAGTTGCCTGCCAGCCTAGTTGGAAGGTTGTTAATCCACCATCCGTTAGTTTGCCAACCAGTGAACGGCTTGCGAACCCACGGAAGGCGATCGGTGTTAGGTGTGGGTTCGATCATCGCCGTTTACATGGGTTATGCCATCCTTAAACAAAAGAATGGTCTAAATCGTTCGATTAGTTGTTCTCATAGCATCACCCATATTAAATAGTTTTGTGAATGGATTCATCCCCCGTGAATCTAACTGGTCAACCCACAAGCCTCTTGACATGTGAACTCAAACCAATCATCCATTTCCTATGCACACCCAAGAGTTGGCCCCGCTTCCTGGATTCCGTCCCAAATTTCCATTATAGTCTGAATTTTGCTGAATGCGTCTGGAGGCTCCTACGAACGAAAGCTTTTAAGCGCGCAAACGTTCCTACTGGAATGCGAGCTGCGCTGCTCCGAGGACAGACTATAAAACTGTACTGAATCCTGTTCGAATAGAATTATGTTGAAAAGTTCGGTTCGGTTGAACTAGTGCGCACCATCCATACTCCTCTGAAGTGACTGAATTCTGTTCTACTATTTAGATCACAATCAGCAAACATACCGTACAGCGATTATGGGCCCATAAGACAAAAGATGGTGGATAAACCAGTTTGAAGTTGCTGATTACATTAGTCAATTTTATCGACTTGTGGTGTGACGGCTACTCTGGCTCTATTGTGACCGTAGGTCAATTAACGTTGTTGTTTGCACCATCGCACGTAATTGAGCTAGCGACTACCCGGGCTGAATGAGAAAGTCCTCGCATGGTCACAAACAGCTAAGGTCACGTGATTCCAGAGAAATCACTGTCCGTCAGGGTTCATTCTAAGCAAGATAAACACAAGCCCTGTTAACTCAAGATGAATCTGGCTGCAACAGTCAGATCAAATTCGTATCAAAAATGCCTTAGCGAACCCGCACATCACATGAGGCAATTAATTGTGCAATCTGTATTACTGTGTTGCGTTAATCATCGGCCACTTTATCCGTACGGCATCGCAGCATCAGTGTTGAACACTAATGTCATGTCGATGACCATGTTTTTCTGCAAACTGCCACGTCTCATATCCTATTACCCTCGCCCAACTAATTTTCGCTTCATTGTTGACCCGTTTCCCATTTTGAGAAACTAATGCGAGCTGGGGCGTGGTATTTAGATCAGCATGTTAAACAAAGATCTCAAACGGAACATTGTTCGATCAGATAGAAGACTGACAGCAATTGACTAAAACCACTTTCCGACTAAAATGGAAGTTCCGGTCAATCGGACTGCTTCTTGCGCCTAAGCACAAACGACAGATTACATTGGTGTTTTTCGAGCCTTTGGGAAGCAAGGCGAGTTCATCCAGTAGTCCACTGGGTTACCATTCGCTTTAAAATGTTTGGACACACCTGCCCCTAGTCCATTGTTAGAATGGTCATGTTGCCCATCTGTTCCGTTCACCAGGGAAAGCCTGAGAACATTGTCAGTTAATATGGTAGAAGTTAATCCTTTCTTATCCCTCGTTAAACATTTTAACGGGTGTTATGTTCGAAACCGATTATCTGTACGAGGTGAAATGCTTCTTGATCAGTTCTCAAGATGGACTAATGCAGTCCAATTAGAACAAGTTAGCAACTCGACTGACCGATTTACTTTGTCTGGAAGACGATGGGCGCGTAAGCGTTATCCCAGACAAAAGTCGACAAGAAAACAAATTCACATTAGGTATTTTTTAAATGAATATAAACTAGAACAAAAAACGCGGGACATATCTGCAGGGCGGGGGTTGATAAATGAAAGTCAAATAGATGTGAATGAAAGCAATGTCACTTTTCTTTCGCTCGAAGTAGGGCATGAGGTTTGCTACTAGACGTGTCAGTCACTTCCGTACAGTCTTGACGGTAAGTGAGAGTGATTGGCATTGATGGAAGAGCTGACGGATAGCTTCAGTGGATAAGCTTTTACAATCCAATCCATTCACCCGAACCAACTCATCGCCACAAGATAACACTTTCTGAGGGGACGTACAAACTTGTTCGGACAGACGAGTTATCTGGAAACCTTGAAAGAAAAAGAGAAATAATAAATGAGTGTTGACCGAACTTGAGTGTAGTGACAAAGAGCGCAGTAGCACATGATGAACTGAGACGCATACCTTGATCAGATTTAACCACATATAGACCGAAGGGTTGGGAACTATCTTCTCTGCTCAAGGTTACGTTTCGGAGGACTGCTTGATCATGGTTCATTAGCGGTTGGGAAAAGTATTTATCACAGAATAAACTGGAACGTCCACTGAATCCCTGACCATCTTCAACACGTTCTTTCACGTTGATTGAGACGGAGTGATCCAACTCGACAGCCTCCTGTAAACTGTGCGTTGAACCACGGAAAGCCTTTCGAAGTGAATTTAGGGTGTCCCGAGCCGAACGTTTTATTTCAAGAAAGAAACTTGAACGCCTTTTCTCCCGCGGAGATTGGGTCATGAGGGCCGGATAGGATTTGTGAGAACGCAGAACTGCTTCTGCACTGTACCGACCCGCACGATATTTGGTCCGACTGATAGGTTCATTAGATGGTTGAGATATCACTTGCTCAGTGGAAGTTGTTGAGAGGGACGGTTTCGACACCGGATTTCTCACTGCGGCACTAGAATGAAGGGAATAATTTATGGGTTGTAGAAACTTGGTTTAACGTTCGCGGCAATAGAGGGATAGACACTGAATAAGAGGTTATACCATTTGTTGTCTGTAACTGCATATATATCGATAATTTTTTAAATAAATTGTAACAGAAAAGAGGTGAGATGACCATCCACAATAGACCAGCCTACTGAGGCATTCTGTGCACAGTTTTGAAGGTTCGTTCAGCTGTAACACAATTTTAGGTGCCTAACTGCTATGCCACCCGAAGGAAGCACGAGGGCTGGGATGCTGTCAGGTTGCCCAAGCCTAGACAGGGGAAGTCGAAAGGCAGAGGTCGAGTCCGAACGACGGATGTTCCAGTCAGCAAATACGTGCTCTACTCACTGAGCCATCTCGGCCCGAAGAGTTTTCAGCAACCTTGTTAGTAGTTCCCTTTATGCAAATATACTGCGATTTCTTGAATATCATCTTAAGTGAAGCATGTGATGGTCTATGTTCAACACATTCAGCTGAAGCACATCACTACCGATGGATTTGACTGAATCTTCCATGAAAATCCAGTTGATAGCCAAACAAGTGAATTTTTAGAAATATTATCTTCAGTTTTTTAGGAAGCTATCGTTTCCAGCTGTAGCTGAGGGACATACGAACCACAATAAGCTTTATTCAAGGCCACATTGTCACGGTTAATTTCGACCGCACTTAAAAAATAATCCACGAAATCTACTCACCTGGAAATTCCTTCGTTGTTGGAAGTATAATCTGGAGGCTCACGTCTTAATGCTGGTCGTTCTGAAAAATGAATAAATGAGCTTATCAATGATCCGACAGTGTTACAGTAAATTCAGTTTCATTAGGCATTCGCCCGCAATTTTTCGTTAAAGTTTGGATTGAGGTATTATCGTCTGCTTTTGTGAAAAACTTGGAAACACCGAACAGCCATTTCTTTATCATCAGGCACATCATTAATTAGAAATGTTCCTAATTGATGCTAGATATCACGGAGTCCACTTTCGGACCAGCCATCGTTTGTTGTATGCCCCGTCAGTGAATGACGTTGTTCCAAGTCGACCTAACCGTGTTTTGTCTACGGAAATCCCATAAACGTGTTTGGTGAACTACTGACTTCTATTGGTCTGCATGCTGGAAATTCAACTGTAATTCGAAACCCTTTTCCTTCTGGGGCGGGGGAGAATTTTAGCCTCAGGCAGTCAATTGCATGGCTACACACCCTAATTTACTCTTGCACGATTGCTGCCGGCTTGTCCATGAGGATCAAGACACGCTGCGCTGGTTATCACATTCTACCCGTTTGCACTTGTTGGTGAGCAATGAACAAAGGTTCCTTGCACAGAAAGAAAGGACAAAACAAAGGTCAATTGTATGGGGGCATGTTGAGTGACCGAACAAGTTCTGAGGATAGCGATCAGATGGATATGATTTGTGAGGTCGGAAAACGAACAGTCAGTCGCTATCAGCAGTGGAACAACGACATATTTTAGAATGGTGGTCTCTCAGATGTGAGGAACTAAACACCAAATAAACAGTATGAATCAGACTACTGAAAGGACCCAGTACGCATGAGATCGGTCTGCCATTGATAACCAGATCTTATTCCCTGTTACACACTGGACGTTTCTTAGTTGTTCTCATAAATCCGCGCATCTTCAAGTTTGATTTTGGCCAATTGTTCTTCACCTAGGATCATTAGGTACCGTGTAACTCCGCATATGGAACATCAGGAAGATAGTTGTAGGTGTCTGTATCCAGGGGATAGGGCAGTAAACCAACAAATTGTTCCGCTGTGACAGTCATTTGGCACACGAGGGATGAGATATTATGAAATCAGGTTTTAAACTGCTTGACCTTACTGCATAAGTCATTTCGACTATGCTGCATTAATAGAGTGATTAATCAGTTGCTGAAGACTGTAATATTCGACACAAACGGCCGATACTTACTTGGATCTGAGAAGCCTTCCTCTGCACTGTATCTTCGACGAACGTGAGGATTGGTGGCAATGCGTACTGGGGTTATCACATTCATCGGTTTGTCATCATGCACCGCACCAAAAGAAGAAGTCGAGGATGGAATGGACGCAGCATGGGACTGTTTCGTAACGACCGGTACGGATGAGGACTCATTGCTGAACATTGGGAGTAGATCGGAGAATAGTAGTATCAAAGTAGGTGATTTTGTGGGTACATTACCTACACAAATGACGCCCTTAAAAAAATATACAACACGGCAATTTTTAGCTGATCGCCACAATGTTGAATGCGTCTTGTTTACTTATGGTCGTTGCAATACATCAGGTAAACTACTCCATCATACAAACCGAACCCGCGCGTCGCAAGCAAACGAGCATGACTCAAATGTATGGGTCAGTTGCATCTAGAACCTGGGATACATTAATAGGTCAGTCATTTTCTTCGCATACTGCATGTTGGAATCCTAGTTCTTGCAACAAATAAGGGGTGTGCGTAAATTTAACGATCTAGAAAGCTCAGTCTGTGTGCCACCGGTATGTGAAGTGTCTCAAACTACCTACGGGACATCACCCTAATTATCTATAATGTAAGATCCGAAATTGGGAATCTGTAGGTAAATTGAATATAGGCCTGACTGGATGAATCATGGACATAGACTACTAAAGCTAAGCAGGGTCGTCGAGTTTATTCACTTGGCGTGAGTCCTATGCAGCGTTATAAGATACAAACTGCAGACTAAACAAACAAGACATTGCTTCGGTATTCTGAAACAGAACAACCTGTCGTCGAGTGCTTAGTTGTCCCCGAAATCCACCGGTATCTTCCGTTGGGGAAGGAGGCGATTAGTGCGGGACTGAGCGAGAATTTTGTGGCCCTGTTAGTAAAACTATGCCCACCATTCATTTGTATACGCAACTTCGCAAACCTTTCTGCTACAGAAAAATCAAACATTTTAGTCAGATATTGAGCAGTTCCCAAGTTCCATCCACAAATTTCATCACAAATACAATACACCATAAATAATGATTCGTCAGTTTTTTAAAGTGATCAATAAAATAATATCAAACAGGACAATCAAAATACCCTGTTTCCAATCTGTTCATGTGAATAGCTTTCACTGGCTGACGGGATGAAGGCGCCAGTATATTCGGTGTGGATAGCTTTGTACCACTGGGGATTGTGGGCTTTCGTCGGAATCTGAACTGAGGCCAATCCACAATCCGCTCGAGCCGTGTGGTTCCATTTACTGAGCTTCGCCGAACCTTTTTGGGCGCGTTCATTTTAAAGGACGGACTAGGAACCGAGGATTCCCATTCGTCATTCGATCGATCGGACAGAACATCATGGCCAACCTTGGTGCCCATTCTTGGCTGCATGCCAGATGAACGAGAATGCGAGGGTGGGTGTGTCGGTGGCGTTGGACAGAAAAAGTAAGAATTCCTCTGAATCGTCTCTGTCATCCCTGTGTGAAAATTTTAAAAACACCCTGTAAGCATTTAAAATAATACCATCGAGTAATACTGAACCCACAAAGCTGGTTCAAAATAGTCCATCCTCGTCAAATGTACCAAAGTTCACCCGCGTGGGGTTCGGTCGCTGCGTTGCTATGTGGATTTTCTAATCCCTGTTTGGATACAAATAGGCCACCGCCATTTTTAGGCACATTAAGCCAAAACTAATGTCTTGAATAGGGGGAGCGTCAACTGGTTGTGAAACTCCTCGTCAGTAAATAGTAAACTGATTGTCAGCTGCTGGCGACATGTGGTAACCAATCTCAATTCTGTCCGTGGGAAGGCTTACGTGGTACACATTTACTGGAGCTCGGAAGACCCCCATATACGCACAAGTAGGTTCAACTCAATAGTTTATTGATCATACTAATTCCGACAATTTCCCTTGTAATTTCTGAAGGCAAGCAAGTACTTGAAAATTACTCATTTCAAGCGGAATAGTCCCTTGCATATGCACTCACTCTATCCATCTGGCAATTAGTTCGCTTCTGGTCATGGGTTATTGGTAAGTATACGAAAGAAATTTGCAAGGGATATAAATAGATCGTGTGTGGTGTTGCCAACACCAACAACCTGGTATCCCCGGAGTAATACGGACTTCGTTGAAGTTTCACTAGGTACCGTCTTGGGGCCACTCCTTTCTGTGATCTTTTCGTGACCTTCGTGATGTGCTCTCAAGGATGCCCCTAAAATCTTGGGGTTCCAACGCTAGCGCACTCCAAATAGGTGTCCACTGCGCAACCAGTAGTCACTTTGGCTCATTATCTCTAGACTACTGTCACAACCGAAGGGATCTGATATTAACTCACGTATTCTTCCATGAAGTTTTGACTGATGTTTTTGCCACTGACCCAACTAATACACGGTGAGGACAGGGTAAAATAATAAAGGCGTGCAATAACGTTCCCNCTACACGTTTACAATAATGCATCTGGCGACCAGTTCATGTCACTTTTGGATGCTATTTTGGGGTTCTTCTCACTGACAAGGTTAGTACTAAGCGCTGAAAATTTAAAAACGGCCTACAAACTTTTTGTCTGTGCCTTTCACATGAACCGAAGCCACAGAATGTCAAGAATAAACCCGACCCAGAAAACCTGGACCCAATCATCAGTCCTGTTTGCCATTCCGGGAATCCGTTGGTTAACGAAATATATAAGGACCAATAGACCCGAACTGACACACCGCTCACTTCGCTTCCGAACTTTGGTTGCTAGTCAAACGACCCGGAAAACAAACACAAGATGGTTTATATGCTAAACCAGCATGTTATTCATTCTGAAAAATCCAGGTCATCCAACCACATTGCACAGCCGCATCTTATGGGGTGAATTCAATAGAAATATGCTTCCCTCTAAACACCAACGGATACATGCATCTTACATCCGTGGGCGTTTCTTTAAAGAAGGGAACTGTGACACTAAGACCCTGAAGCTTTTTAGGCTACGTAATTATGTTGTCAATTGATTCAACACGCAGTGAGATTTGATAGCCACGGAACTTCCACAAAATCTTTGGGGAAACTGATCCTTTTGCATTTAGTGGACAGGTACGCTCAAACCTAATGCGCCGTGACGAGCTGGAATGCAATAGGAGACTTCACGTGTACACGTGGTCTTGCTCCAAATACTTTCAAGTCAATTGATAAAATATCGGAAACTCATTGAGGAATACTAGCTGCAAGTTTTCTACCTGCGCTCGACGTTCTTCGATCTAATCCCATTAATGCCACAGCCTACGGGACATCCCATGAATACAGTTCGACGCGTGCCAGATTGACGACCAGATTGTTCGGGCACACAAATGTCACTTGTTCGAACGTCAGACGATGCACCGCATGTCATGGTGAAAGTTCGGGCTTGTGTATCGTTATGTCCCTGTCACCCATGTTGACCTGATCCTTTCCGTCAGAAGCGAACTGGCCAGTTGTCTGATTTGTATCAGCTGGTGCATACGTCAATTCACTTCACAACGGACACTGTTCTAGCAAAATCAATTGAGGCGGTCATTTGCCAACTACGTGGTGATCGCGAACTTTTGTGGAAAGATCTTAATACCGTCCAACAAGTAAAGAAGTTGTTCATGATCTTCACTGCAAGGTTGTGAAAGAAATCCGGTGTCATTCGGATTTGACTCAACCTTGTATGTGCACACTTGTCACTACATGCACCGCCAAAGTTTTGACCAAATGTGGTGGCATGCTGCACGATCTTAACGGATCACCAACTTTGGGGTTGAGTGAAAAATACGGCTTTTCAGTGAAAGGCAAGTACGCTCGATTTCAAGAATGTGGAATCGCTGGACAAACACAACATTGATCTACTTTGTGATATTTTAGAATGGCTTATTTGCCACCAGTCTAGGTGTATTAATAGCGACAGCACGTAAACAGTTTATTTTCAGCAAAATTAACAAGGTTAATTTTATGCTAATTTCCACTAGAAGTCTGGTTGACTAAAACGAATACTCTAAAGCGTGCTAAACTTGCTATTTTAAGTAAGCAAACGAATCAGGCGTTCCTGTCAGCTCACATAAAAAAGTCCCAGGCATGAGGAGGATCAGCTAACTAGTAGTTACAACAGAAACTATCCTATCCAGAACGGGACGATTCTGTCCCTCCGTAAGATCCAGAGTAAAATCCATTGAATGACATAATTACTTACCTAGGATATTTCAGCGATAAGACACAGGTAATAAATCACAGCAGCTGTCGCCTGGGTGGAATGGTCGCTACGTCACTTTTATCCGTTCAGTCGCCGTGCGTGTGCCACGACCACGGCCGCACTTCAATGAGTGGTCCTACAACCCTATTGGTCAGTTTTCTAGCAGCCATCTGACTAGCCTTTCGGTGGTGGCACGTGGGTGACTGACCAATGACAGAGAGGCAGGCATTTTGAGGCAGTTATCCGGCCGGCCACAGCTTGCTAACTTCTGGCTTGCTTACCACATTGTTCAAAACACAGCGGGTTCAACATCAATTAGCATGACTGTGTGTGCTCTGCCCTCCAAAGCGCATAAATCTCACTGTAGTGACTGCTCCTACACTGCGATCTGTTGAGAACACCAAGGGTTTATAACGCTGAGCAGAATAAAATCACTAGTCAGCTTTTATCCTCAGCAAATTTGACTAATGCAGGTTCACAATCATTCCAGCTTTAGAACATTTCAAAAACCTAATCCCAATTGCTGAAATAACGAGCTTATTGATGTACGCACTTTACGAAAAGATTGTCTGATAATCGGATGGAATGTGACTAGAATTTGCAAGATGTAGCTTCTTACGTCGTGTGTTTCTAAGAACCATTTGAAGAAAATTTTAAGATAAAATAGGCACCTGATGTGAGTGCACCCTATAAAAGTCGAGTTGGTGTCCCATTTGCGAACAAGTGGTTGAATCTGTGTCCTGGTTTACTTAGTAGCCGGAGTGGACCAGTCCGTTATAAGTATTCATAACCATCGCCTACTAGATCTCCCCTAGAGTTCCAGTTCTATAAAGATATTTCATGATAGCTCGTTTATTGTGACCTGCGTAATCTCCGAATTACTATCCATCTTGATATCTTAAAATTTAGAGCGAACTCGCTCGATTTACAAAGCAAACCAAAAGGAAAAATTTCCACTGTCGTCCTCACCGAACTGTTTGATACCACGAAGTCACCACCAATCTGTAGCATCCAAGCAAATATTTTCGTACTTAAGGGTGCAACCGTTTAAAAGTTCAGTTTACGAATACAACGTATCGAAAATTCACTTCTTCGGCAAAGCATCTGTAGGTTTTGTTGGAGCAATGCCGAACGTGAAATCAGTCACATCAACCGAAGCGTATCAGTGTGGTTCGGGGGAAATGTTAAGTTGCATAAGTTGAGCGATGCAGAAATATAAGCGTTGATTAGCCCGTACGTCTGAAGTAGATTGATTTGGCGCAATCAATTTGACGTAGAGTGGGCTACAAAGTAGCATAACGACACGCACCCATACGGGATGAGGGTCGTTGTGTAAGAGGCATTAGCCATCACCAAGTCTTTGGTAGAGAGAAATTAGCTGGATGTAGCTAGGTCAGTGCCAGTGCGCCATTTCAAATAGCGCTTTCATTGTGTTCTCACCTGCGGGCAAAGCTCACCCACAGGGAAATTTAACCAAATACCCGATACTAGAGGAATAGATGCATAAAACCCGGGTTGTGGAATCGCTTCACAGTGGCCTAGATGAACTAGGTAAGTCCTGTCGTGACACAACGATTCTTTCAAGGCTACTGAAAAACCTTTGATGGCGCACTGCCGGTTTATCCATTCCTGAGGTTCTTCATGGAGCGTAGTTTTTGAGTTCTCCAATTTTGATCAAACTTATGTACGACTCGAACACCAAATTGTACACAATTGTAGAAATACACCCTTTTTAAACTGCCCTCTGACGTGAGACCTAACTGGAACTCTCACGTACGATATAACTCGATAAAATATACCCTCGGAACCCGCTTTTTGTTTCAGTTCGCACCTTCTCCGGGATACTGCGGCATACTTGTTTCAAGTAGCACACTCCTCATTAGGTTACTGAAACATTGAAAACGCTCTAACTTTATCACTATTCTTCTGAGAAGACATACTGCAATCGTGAAGAACGTCGTGGACGAGAGTTTCAGTTAACCCGCTCTCTAACAACACAATTATTTGTAACTGAGTATTTTCGGTTGCTTACGTACAATCTTCTCTTCAGATAGTAAATGCGGTTCTTGAAAACTGGGGACTACACTTACCTGATGAGCTCCATCAACGGCGTAACTTGGCTAGGTCTGTCGAGGAGTTTTCAGCAATATGATTTTAGGGAAATATACTTTCTTATCCTGTAGCTCGTGCTAACTGAAACGTGAGATGGCCTTTTGCGGCACATTGATTCAAAGGATATCACAACCCAGAGATTCGGCTGTATGTAAGCTGCATACATTCGAATCTTGAGTTACTCTACATATTTCGATTCTTTTCGAAACCTTTTTGTGGAATGTGTGCGAATAAGTCGATAATAATAGTCTTATGCTGGACAGGAATCAAGATTTTATACACAGGAGATGTATGGTTGCAATCGCTGCGACACCAACGTAGAGTTGTTCTGTACAAACACCACACCGGTTTTTTCGGATCGCGTACCTTTCAAACTGGTGTACGCATTTAGTCGTCTTACTATTTCGTAACCTGTCCACAATGTCTAGTGGAAGGTATATTCAGATGCATTTCCAACCTACGGTAAACTCCGTGTAACTAATTAAATTTTCGTGGAATCGACTAAGCGAGCAAGCCGAAGGGATATATTTGACTTTCTTGACGACACACTACTACTAAGTTCGCTTAAAACTCTTCGATAGCCTATAAGCAAATCATTCTGGAGGCTAAACCAGGTTGATGCAGTCTCCGAGTTTCCACCAACTTTATATTTTGCCTGAACTCAAATTGGACGCAATTAGCGAAATACACTCATCTGCACGTCAATTAGTTTCATCGAGAGATAACTGATTTCATCTGAATCTTTATGGTGGTCTACATCAACTAAATGCACTGCACATAGTGCCTCAGTGCAATTGGCACATTATTTGGGATATCACAGTGTTTTCTTGATGGATCGCCACGCATAAAGATGCTGAGAACTAATTTGGTCTACTGTCGGATCACTGTGCTCTATGCGCCTTCCGACCGCTTTACGTCAGACAAGCCGAACGGATCACATGACGTGAATACGTGGCTAAGGTCAATAGCATAGCAGCAGATCGGCTACATTTGCCTGATCTCCTTTTAGTGAGTGGGCCGAGAGAGCGCTAACAACACTGAGGTCAAAGGTCACACGGTCAGTTGAAGTTCGTTCACCAGCTGCATAAACCTAAAAAAAATAAGGCGGCCTGGAACTTTTCGAACAGCGCTATGGATACTGCTCTTCGATTTATGCTACCTCAATGGGTTTTTTAACTCACATCAGCGCAGCTTGTGAACCGATTCGAAAAGTGGAGGTCCAACTAATGATTCATGACGAATGTGCATGAGCCGTTAACCACCAATAGGCAAACCCATCTAAACACAGGTTAGGGTGCATTACCCCCTGGGGAAGAACCCGAGTTGATATACCGTGTCAGACGGCTACTATTTGGGGGCCGCAGCTGATCTACTTCTTTCCCGCGTCGTGGACACGACTTCTAGGAAGAAGGATGAGACGACTTCTCCACACTCAGGAGATTTTCCCCGTGCCATTAGTCCATACAAATGTAGGAACACTTTATGTCGTGAGCACGTTCGCTAAACCAGGTTACTGCATTAATATGCCTAACTCGGCCTAACTGATAAAAGTACCTACACATTGCATCATCCACCGGGACATACCGACTGACAGAAAGGATAATTACCATCACGGTCAGTGCTATCTTGCTCAGCAGTCCTTATTTGAACTAAGCTGTTAGGCCATTTGTTTGTAATGCTCCAGATAACGTTTAATGTGCAGATTTACCATGTTGTACCAGTATGTGCCAACCAGAAGTATTTGTTAGCTTGGGCTACCTTAAGAATTCGTTTCAAACCAAGTGGAAGTTCCCATCACATACGTAGGAATACCTTTCGGGATAAGGGCTGACTGACATTACCCCAGAGCAGAAGGCATATTTTACGGTGCCTATTCATTAGCATCCCATCAGGCGAAGCTTCCCCTGTCTTCATCCATGCGAAGACACTGCGTTCCCATTAAACAGCACATTCTGTGGTAGCAAAGTCTGGAAGAATGCGAGAATACGGAAACGACCTTCAGACAGTGTGACGCACTCATAGCTCTTACACAGTGTAGTGATCGAAGATTCGACTGTGACTAAGCCTTGAACAGAGCGTCTTACGAACCGGTAACCACGGCATTAGCTAGCCTGTCCTTGATAGTTACTTTTCCCATTTGGGTTTGATTCCTGATTTGATGCTTAGTAATCGAGAAGGGCTAAGCGAANTGATATACCGTGTCAGACGGCTACTATTTGGGGGCCGCAGCTGATCTACTTCTTTCCCGCGTCGTGAACACGACTTCTAGGAAGAAGGATGAGACGACTTCTCCACACTCAGGAGATTTTCCCCGTGCCATTAGTCCATACAAATGTAGGAACACTTTATGTCATGAGCACGTTCGCTAAACCAAGTTACTGAACTAATATACCTAACTCGGCCTAACTGATAAAAGTACCTACACATTGCATCATCCACCGGGACATACCGACTGACAGAAAGGATAATTACCATCACGGTCAGTGCTATCTTGCTCAGCAGTCCTTATTTGAACTAAGCTGTTAGGCCATTTGTTTGTAATGCTCCAGATAACGTTTAATGTGCAGATTTACCATGTTGTACCAGTATGTGCCAACCAGAAGTATTTGTTAGCTTGGGCTACCTTAAGAATTCGTTTCAAACCAAGTGGAAGTTCCCATCACATACGTAGGAATACCTTTCGGGATAAGGGCTGACTGACATTACCCCAGAGCAGAAGGCATATTTTACGGTGCCTATTCATTAGCATCCCATCAGGCGAAGCTTCCCCTGTCTTCATCCATGCGAAGACACTGCGTTCCCATTAAACAGCACATTCTGTGGTAGCAAAGTCTGGAAGAATGCGAGAATACGGAAACGACCTTCAGACAGTGTGACGCACTCATAGCTCTTACACAGTGTAGTGATCGAAGATTCGACTGTGACTAAG